ACAAATGTGAGAAAAATGTGTACAAACCAAACAGCCAAATATTGAAATGATGACACATGCTGACACATGTTGATGCGGTCGCTGAATGAGATTCAAAGTGTTTCAATTACATGTCGGCAGTTATACAAGTCCAATTTACTCATATCATCTTCTGGCATCCAATATTAATCCACCCAAAATATTTAATTTTTGAATGTACAAAGAATTTTGAGCTCAACTTTTACTAAATTACCCTGTTTTAGACTAAATTGTAATCAGTGGATTTTGAGCAAGAGGTAATCATGTCAGATACTTTGAATTGTGGTTTCTTATTCAGAAGACCAATATTTCTATGGTTGTGCAGTTCACTTCACAGATCAGCTCAGTACTTTTAACATAGTGAGAAAAAAGACAAAAACACTCATGTGAATGAACTCCACCTGCTCTAACTCAAATAGTGTGTTTATAGGTCCACATTACTAATAAGCTGTTTGAGAAATAATGCTTTGTACTGTATACACTTTATCTCTTTCAGCCAGGTTTAGCTCAAACCAAGCTATTTGCAGGACAAAACTAATCACAAGTATTGACACATGGGCCACATGCCCCAAAGTTTTGTGCAGCTTTTATACAAAACAACTTCCTTTTCATTCATAAGATATTTCTGTTTTATACAAGAGTGTTTGGGGAAAAGATACAAAGCCCTACGTGAGCAGTATGACGTTCTCTCATTGTGTTAAGTATCCATTAGCCTTCAAGCCGTTGGCTATCACTATTCAGATGCACACGTTGTTATTTCTGGACATGACGAACAGTTTAATCCCTTTCCACTGACTCCACTTGAACTGCTTTTTGTCAGTCAATTGTTTCTCTGAGCTGTTATCTAAACCAGAACTTGTTGAAGTAACATGAGTAACAAAAAAAGAATTATGTCCAAGACAAAGCAGAAACACATTTTTAAAAAAAGAAGAAAAAACAAAACCCCTATTTGAACACATATCCAAGCAGCATTCATGGGCACATAAGGGACAAATCCATCAAGTGCATTCACACAAAGAGCCAAAACACTGTGGTCCAAGTTCAGTTGGCGCACAGTCACGAAAACAATAACATATCAAATGATTTTCCTTCATCAGTATGTGCAGCTGGGAGCCGTCTGAGGGGAGGAATGGGAAAATAGAAGCTCCTGGCTCTGAGGTATTATCCAAATCCCCAAATGCATGGGGTCCTTTCTGCTGTGCTGGAAACCCCCGGATCCACAAACTCAGAGAGAAGGGAAAGATCCAGCAGTTCAAGCATTTTCCTGCCATCAATGTTTCTACAACTGCACTGACACACCTTACTAATAAATAATTTGGCCTATTTTGTTTTACATTTTTGTCTGGTATTCTGCTGATATAATCTGCGGTATTATCAATCAAAGCTGAAGTTGTTTTGATTTTTCCTTCTATGGTTTACTTGCCATTTTCCTCGTTCTGTTTCGTTGCCCTCCTGAACTCCATGAGAATCCGTAATCAGCTTCCTCTTATAGCACTAGGGCCAAAACTAAAGTCATGAAGCTGCGGTCGCTGCCAAGATGTAATTATTAAAGTGCAATTGAATGACTCATGGTCATGGGAGTGCCCTTTGAACCAATCATTTGTTCTGAGAGAGCCTTTAAACTGGAACGGCATGATGGAGGCAACCTGTGTGACCCTTGGAAACAGCTGATCCACATTTCGTCCTTATACTGTACATGTCGATGGCTGAGGTCAGTCGACTTCATCACGTCACACACGGCACTAAATGCATGCTTCTGTTCACAAAGATGCAATTACATATTCATTGTAACATGTCTATGAACAATGGACCTTTCAGTGCCTTCCTGTTGTTTCCTGATAGCAAAGGCCAAATCATAACATTGGTCAGTTTGACGTATGTCCTCCGCGTCCACTAAACAGTTGATAAACCAATTACATGGAAATCCCACAGCACTTGCAAAGTGATGAGATATATTGTGCCAAATAAGAAACTCTTACAACTTTGACTTTAGCTGTATAAGAAAAGAAACGGTGGCAGAAATGTTTTCTAAACAAAAACTTGGAGCAATGTATATCAAAATAGTTTGCAAAGTCAATACAGTGGCAATAATAAACAAGTTTATCCTGACCAAAACTGCAATGTTTTTCTAAAAAATGTGAGAGTCAGAGGGTTAAGGAATTCAGGACACAAATGCAGTAAAAAAAAAAAGAAGGGAAACAGGTTTATAGCAAGAAGTGAGCTTTTTTAAATCTGATAAACATGAAACTAATGGAAGCAAGGTGAAAATATAACTTTGGAACACGAGTGTGTAATTGTAGCCAAAATGTATGTTTAATTCAACAAAATACATAGGCTCAAGAAGTGAGCCTTGTGGTACACCACACTTTTTGTTGTTAAAGAGAAATGTACACTATTTGTAAGTGAAAAAACACAATAATCACTCTGGAAATGTCTTTAGAATAATACAAATAAAAAAACAAAATATTAAAGTGTTTTCAAAATGTTACATTTCAGGGAAAAAAAAACACTTACAAAGTTGATCGATGGTCCAACAATGGGCCAATCAGCTCTTTATAAGAATCCTGTTTAAATTGGCTGCTACCATAAAACTAAGCCGCTTTGTTTATAATCGATGGAACACGGGTATAGCAGAACCAGGAGGGCCCACAAGGAAAATCAAGAAACAGAGACAGGAAAATGATGACGGATGGAATCTAACCGGGGGAAACATTGACAAACCAACATCAAACACAACGGTACACATATATGCACACAGGACTAAGCATAGAGACAAGACTCAGCTCCATAACAACCCTATTGCAAGTCTACAACTGTACTGTATTAGCAGGTAGGGTTAGGGTTTCCTATACAGAGGATGTAATTGTTGCGACAATTTATGTTTAATTCAACAAAATACACAGGCTCAATAACTGAGCCTTGTGGTACACCACACTTTTTTGACAATGATGTTAAAGAGAAATGTAACATTTTAGAAAGTGAAACACAATAATCTATCTGGAAATGTCCTTATCATACTTAAAGTGTTTTCAAAATGCTACATTTCAGGGGAAAAAAAACAATAAGCATGGTGATTGATGGCCCATCAGCACTTTATAAGAGTCCTGTTTAGATTGGCTGCTTCCATAAAAGAAAGCCGTTTTCTTTATGACCTCAAACCTTTTGAAGAACAGGGTTAAAACATTTCACGTTCACGACACCTGCAGTGTAGCCTCCCAGAGCCAGACAACTGGCAGAAAGTTCAAAGGGATTTGAAACGTTTTATCAAAACACAAGCTATATTTTCCCCAAATGCCTGTTAAGCCCCAGATACACCAGCCAGTCACCTGAGAAGTCGCCGACGCCGACGCCGACACCGACTGTTGCGTCGCCGGACTCTCCTGCGTATTTGCCGACTTCGCGCACTGGAACACACCGCAAATCCGAGCCGAGCACGTATGAACTGTGTATGCGTGAGTGGCAATAACTCTCCTTACCAGCAGGCGGCGGTAGTGTGTATTCATCATTCAAAAGAGGCAACAACCGGAACAACCGGAAGACAGAGAAGAAGAACAGACTGTGATATAAACAAACAACAAATAGCGTTTTTGTTTCCATTTTCACTCTCGTCCATTGAAAACATGAACGAACAGGAGCTCTATAAACCGATGAGGTGAAATAGCCGTCCGTGTGTGTTCCATCTTCCATTTTAAATCATTTGTTTACCTCCCTCACTTCCGTTAACGCTTCTCATGCACTGATTCGCTCGCTGAACAGCCAATCAGTGTTATCCCTTTGTCCGACTTCCGGTGGTGTTCCCGACGCCGATTCAACATGTTGAATCGGCAAGAAAAGGCGTCAGGTCAGCAGAAAAGCCCGACGGTGCGGCGCACACCACTCCGAATAGGGCGTGCCCATGCTCATGTTCGGCCCGACTCCCATTTACTGCCGTTTTCGGGCCGGTGTATCTGGGCCTTTAGGGTAAATCTGCGTGAAATGTTTTCTGAGAAATCTTTATAGCTCAAGATATATATTATTGATAAGCGATAAACCAAGTCATTTGACATTGTTACTTAAAGTTAAGTGCAGCTCTTTTAAAGCAACACATTCCATATTAATAAAGAAATATTGAGGATAGACCGTAAAAGAAACAGGAACCATTATCACAGAAGAAAAATAAAAGATTGATTGTATTGAAATTGGACCAGAACTTTAGAACATGAGGGATGTGTTATTTATTCTTTCATGACAGAAAATAAAAATCAGTTAATCAAAACGAAGTAAGGCTTCTGATACTGAACGTACTACATGTTGCATGAAACCAATAACACACTCAACTAAACAGAGAGATATTGGCCATGCCAAGCATTCCCTAATATATTGCTTTATTAAAGGATGGTGCTGAAGGACCTAAAAACACTTAGTGTGTGTTTATACACTTCTTGGAGAGTTGAAACCTTCAGGGTGAGCAGCGAACGTCACAGTGATTTATTGATGTGCAGGAGAGGAAATGTTTTCTTCTTTATCTTTATAACAAAACACAAGATTATGTCGTTTTTTCAAGCGGACAGAAGACCTTAAAAAGTATATTGTTGAGCTTTTCTTTGACACGTTTTTCTCGATCCTCTAACTAATGCTATGTGAGTTAAGAAGACTTTTTTATTTATTTATTCTATACTAAATACATATACTGAACAACCCTTTTCTTCCTACAGCACTTTAGATGTATAATGTTATTAAAAAAATTACAAATCCTTTTAATTAAGTCCTACCATTACTGCATGTTAAAAAAAAGAACTTCCGTTTGAAATCAGGACAGCACTGGCTCAACTAGTTTTGTATTTAAACGGTTACAAACAAGTAGTTGTAAACTTGTAAATCTATTTCCAAGAGGCATGTGGGGCAGTCAGTACCTTTAGCCATTTTGCCTAAAGAAATGTTTAGTTCATGAGACCGTGTGTGTGTGGTTCTCCGCCAAACAAACATAACAACACAACAATAAATAATAGTTGGATACGTGTACTTTATTCATATCTCATATATGTTTCTTTACATTTATACAAAAATACAGAAAACAGAAGAGTTTTCACCCAGAATACCAACCGGGCAATAATTACATTTTGCTTTTTGGCACCCAGACTAATTTCCTGCCTAAAGCCATTTGATTCCCCCACTGAAGTGGGATGGATTGGATCACTCAAGCCCGAAAGCACTGTTCAGGATGCAGCTCTGCTCACTCTCAGACCACACGACTACCCACACAAGAACAGTATTTAAGGGCAGTCCTTCTCTCAGCTAATGCATGTCATTGCTGTGTTTCTGACTTCCATGCAATATACATATGGACTATTTGTAGACAGGAAAATGGGAGACCATGTTTTTTTTTTTCACAGCTTAGACCTGTTGCAGCTCATGATATTCATAGACTATGTAAAAAAAGCAACTTTTGACAGACTATACCTTGTTTGTTAGTATGGTTGTGGCTAGACCAACCTGTGTCTCTGTCAGAATACTGGGGACTGCATGTCATATAAAAGATAATTGTTGTAAAAGCCTCAGGTCTAGACTGCCATACATAAAATGCTTGACTATGGATCAAAAATGCACTTTTGAATAGTTGGATTTGAGATTAAAAAATAAACAGTATTTTACCGCACCACTGATTTTAGTGATTCTTTCTAAAAGTATTGTTTGGAAAGTTATTGTACGAGAACCAATGTGGTGTACTTTTTCTAACACAGAGTTCGATCTAAACTGCCATAGAGAATATGGCACGACAATGCTAATACACTTTTTTCAAAAATGCATTTTTGAATGAATACAAATGTCTTGCAGTTCAAAATAACAAACAATAGTCTATCACACCAAAGATATCCAGCTATTGATGACGGAAGGTACTGAATTGTATGAACACCAATGTGGTATACTTTTTTTCAAACACAGATTTAATTTTGCACAATATACTCCTCATTCTATAAGACAAGTTCCCATCAAATAGTCCCAGCAACAAGCAGAGGTACCAGTTGAACTCTCCTAAAGGTCACAATAGCTCAAATGTAACACGGGGTAGAGAAATGTCACAACCACTGATGTTTACTCTGAGTTTTATGCTGCTCTTTCAAAAAAAGTGTTTTCCACTGGGCACAGGTCAAGCCAACTAAACTGTCTGTTTATTTAAAATAGAAAGATTGGTGATTATATCTGTTATTGTGGGAAGAGGTTTTTAATCTGCACTGTAATGATCTCTCCACTTTCTGCTACCACACAGAAACATAGACAGGCTTTGGACATTTACACACAGGGTCAATCACACCAATCAAACAAGGCACAAAACCAATGGACAATGGTACAATGTAAGACCATAAACATGATAGAAAAACTAGATATGGAAACAGATGTTTGTGTCCGGCCACTTTGTCATAGTAAGTTATTCGCAGAAGGTCACAGCCAGCGTGCCCTGTTCACACTCCTACCACTTTGCTGATTGTCATTAACAATCTTAATCATTGAATCCATCTATTGACCTACTTTACATGAGCGAGGCTCTGCGTGGACAAACCATGCTGAGATGATTTAAAACTTGTTGCCTTTAACTCCTCTGAAGGAAAGCAGGCGTGGAGGGGCACATGGATTTAATATTGGAATGAACCTGAGGGCTTAGGCAATTACTATACAGTAGCTAGCAATTAACAACATCATGCCAACTGATTGGATTTGACTACCAGTTGTTTTCTGCTCAGGGAGAAACAAATCGAAAACTCACAAAAGAAAAGTAATACCATTGTGCGACCGTTCAGTATGTGAAGGAGATGACAGTGCACTTCCTTTGACAGTGTATTATAGCGAACTTTAAGGCAAAACTGATTTTTAGGCCTTGATGAAATTCCCATGTGCCGATCTTTGTGGATTGTGGAAATAACTAGTCTGTACATTTCATAAACAGTGGTATCGTCCTTCATTATTTCATAAGCATTTGAGTCTTGATAAATGCACTAACTAGCTTTGTCAGATTGTCTATAATAGGTTTGATTATGCAAGCACAACACTGATACTGGACAAAGGCAAAGTCAGTAAGAACAGATTAAACCATATGAAAGAACATTCTGAGCTAATGGGTTTGATTTGAGAGTATATTTGGTTGAGTTAAGTGAACAGTTAAGAATTTAACAATGTTATATTATATAAAGTTTTATATTCAGTCTTATTATTTTGTTTGTATTTTAAAGGCATTGTAGAGCAAGTATTTATTATTCGAGACCCATCGTTGTCTTGCATGCGTCTATCACTACGTTCTAATTTTACCTTTTTAAAAAAAAACGAATCTGGAAGTCATCCCTGATACTCATTAGCTTGCAGATGTCAATGGTCTAAATGTAAGTTAGTCAAAGCAGCATATTTTGTACATATGTGTTTTGTTCTCCATGTACACACACAAGCTTAATCACCCAAGTCATATATACCGACAACATCATACGAGGAAATGTAACTTGTTGAAGAATGTGTTGAGTTTACGACGTGTTAGTATATAGATTGTTCTTTAAATGTGACCCAATAGTAGAGGTGCTCTTAACTGATAGCTTGAAACAGTTCAGTTGTATCAACAGCAGCAGTTCAGTGCTGCCACCAATAAATAAATACATCATACATCCCCATGGGTACCAGACAATGTGACTACACCTTGGAAATACACTTTAACATTATATTCTTTAGGAAAACCCGGACTAGGACGAATGAGTAGAGCTGTTGAAGATGTGGTTAAGTGTGACCGGAGGTAGTAACTCATGCCTCAGTGCTTAGAGGAGATAACCAGTGTCCGTCTCTCTCTGCTTTGCTGTTTGAAGATGAACTGGTGAGCCTTTAAAACACAGGCAGTCTTTAGCAACTTGCTGACGGGGGGGAACGTTTTCCCCCAAAGAGTTCATGATGCAGCAGGTTCTGATGGACGATTCGCAGGAACCCGTGGACCCAGTAGGGGTGTGGTCCAGGGGTTTCTCACTGCCAAAATCTCACTGTCTTTTTCAAAAGCATGGGGTAAATGCAGTCTTACAAGAAAGGCAAGCTTATCCACACGGTAGCAGGCATGGTTCATCCAGAAGCATCGTGTTCATTGCAGGTACCTGCAAGCGATAATCTGGAGAGCAGTCAAAATCCAGCCTTTTACCTTCGAGAACTATCTATGGAATTCAGCTTTGAGTATTTTTTTCGTCACCTTTGACACCACGAGGAGAAGATGATAGAGCCCTGTGGGAAGACACAGGTGGAGAGAGGTTTTAGAGCTCAGTGACAGGCAGTAATTAAAACAAGAATTTCTGTTTCACGTGACATGAAGAATCTCACCAATTATGCTGGAGAACATCCAAGAGTAGAAGCGTTACACTATTTCAATGACGTTCAACATGTTTCTGTAATAGGACGGAAAGAACAACATTAGAGAGTAAACTTCACTTCCTATACGGAATCAAATATGGATACATGTTCATTTAATTCATTTCTTGTTTTAAAAGCTACTTCCCTGTATGTCATTTTAATGTAATCTTAAATTGTATTACACTTGTTTGAATCTGTACTGTCCTGATTTTCGCTGTAATAAAGGTCCATCTTATCTATATGGCTTTGCGGATATCTAGACCGTATTTTTCCGTGTGTTTTATCTCTCATGGTCAGAAGCTTTCACGAGCCAATCACATTTCGTATGCTTCGTTGTAATGATCGTGAAGGACTTAAAATAAAAGTTGAGCTTGTCAAGATAACATTTAATGTAATAAAGAGTTGAGTTCTATTTCAAGTGTTGAGAAGACTACAAAAAAATTGTCAATTATTATTATTTGAACAGCCAAACCTATTTGCAGAGTTAACAGGCAGTCGGTCACATAAAGGGGAATAGTTTCCTTTTGAACTTTTGCACTGTGAATTCGTGTCATAGCGGAAAAACTGCTCACTTTTCCGATATTTCAGCATCTAGTGGAGGTGCAGTAGCTTCTGTTCCTGAGAAGAGTCCAACTTCTCCAGGGTTCTGTTGAGGACCCTCCACGTTCTTCCGTGATCGGACCTGCATCAGGAAATCATTTTTACTACCAACGCTTCAAACTCAGTCCAAGCTGAAAGCAAGTCATATCAACAGTCATCTGCAGAAAGTTAAAAGACTGTGGCAACGTGTCATAAAACTCAAGCTACAAAGCGGCACCTCCGGATTATAAAATAGGCCATTAACAAACAATCCTATCTCCGGAGTGTCTCAGGGAGTGAAACAGCCAAATAGCTGGGGGTCAAAGGTCAGCTCACCTTCCACACAAGCAGGAATACGAAAGCTAGGAGTGGAATGAAGAGTAAGGATAAAAGGCTTTGCTCCAACACTCCAGGCAGGTCGCCATGCTCTGAGAAAAGAGACAAAACAAAACATCACTTTCAACTCTTTGGCTCTTCACACAGAGACTTTGTCACAGCTGATAAGCCTAGAATATAAGGGATTTCACCAGAACATTTCAGATAAGGGATTTCACCAGAACATTTCAGATAAGGGATTTCACCAGAGGGGGCATTTGCATCGTTACAGCAGGGGGCATTTGCATCGTTACAGCAGGAAAGAGCCACAGACAGCTTAATGTTACATATATTAAAAAGAAAGTACTAAGTTATGATATAATAAAAAATATAATACAAAAATTTAAGTAAAAAAAATACTTTTCAAAATTCAAATCCTGCAACAGTTCTTAGGATTTAGCAGCCAGGTATATATTACACAGTTATGAATGGCATATGTATATAATAATGTATATATTGCACATATTGCACATAGTTTGATGGTATTTAATAGCAGCAAGTTACACAATTTACAAAATACAAAAAACACACCTTGTAACGGTTCTAAGGATTTAGCACCTAACTTTTAGTGTTTGTCTTTCATATTATTAATTCTGTCTGACGTCAGTTTACAATGGGCTTTTAGAGACGTTTACAATAAATAACGTTTTTTTTAAGCATATCTACTCCTCTCATCTCCATTATTGATACATCCGGTATCTATCTATCTAGGTACAATACTTCCCTTGTCCACTTGATGTGCTCTCAAGGTTTTAAATGTCAACATCACCCTTGTATACATCTCATTTTGTACCATCATTGGCTTCTAAAATAGTCACAATGGTAAATAAGATCAATGTGAAAACAGTGTGTCAAACTCTGCATAATGCATCATTCAAACATCAAACATAAATAACAATAAGCAGACATTCAAGTCGTGTCAAATGACCATTTAGTTGTAATCTGTGTATGCATGACACAAGAGCAGGCCATAAGCATGCATTATATAGTTTATCAGTTATTTTCCATTTCACACGTTTTTAGCAGAGCCTTTTGGAACAAATGTTACATCAAACATATTGAAAGGGGTTGAGCAAGATGCATAGTAAAAAGCCGGAGAAGATAAGATATGCGATATACAGTAAGTGATGGTGATGAAATAGCCCTGCAGAGAAACATAAATCAAGTGCTATCAGTTTGTGGAAATGGGCTGACTTGCTAGAGAATGTTGCTGGCAAGCTGGCAAAAGTTTCCGCTTTTACACCCCAGCTGGGCTGATTTAGCAAGCCGATCACACACCGGACACTTCTCAGAAATACCGACAGTTGCAAACTTACGTGGTCCGCAGCCTGTTTCACACACTGAGGCTTTACTGCTGGGTGGTGCTGATTCTGGGGGGGGAGAAGAAGATGAGTTAGTTAGTTTGGAGTTATCATTGTCAGGTGACCACAAATTAACTCAACAGAGCCTTTTTTTTTACCCCCTCTACCTCCCTCAAACACACACAAAAGATATAATCCAACCACTCTGGCAAAGAAAAGCCAATCGCTTGGGAAGATTGGAAGATTGCTCTGTAATCAACACGTACACAATCAGGTTTCGGGCCTTTTCTTCCTTTTCACATGTGCTACCTGGGGACACCTTCCCTCAGTGCTGTGACTCAGCCGGGCCTCAATGGGCCGTCTACGCACTGAGACCGTTCTGAGTTTTTATCTTGCAAAGTTCTTGTGAAGAAATAATGGTTCCTGGATTAAAAGCTTCTCAAAACGGCCACAAGAGATCTGTCCTAAATAGAGCCTGTTCACAATTGTTCAAAGAGGGTGGTGAGGGTTTTACAAGCAAAAGTGAACTTGTGACTGGAATGTAAATCCGGAGAACGGCTAAGAAAATGTGTGTGGGGTGTGCCCTAAATTGTCAATTGCTGTTCTCTACAATTAAACAATTAAAACCCTGAAAGAGCTGGTAAATACACAACATAGAAACACATGTTTACTCACTTATCACTGGCAGTAGGCCTATGTCAGTTTTGAATCAACATGCAATATCGTTGACGAGACGAAAATGTAGTTTACTAAATAAAAACTATGCCAGAATCTCTCTTTACTTTCGTTGACGAAAAATGAGGAGATTAAATATTATCAAAGATAACGTTACATCTCTGATAGTCAGTTTTTCTCTCAGCAGTTCCATTTCCGGTGCCGCGGCTGGGCAGCAGCNGACTGCAGTAAACAATAACTGTAACAAAATCAACATGCAATAGCGTTGACGAAAAGTGACGACACGAAAATGTAGTTCACTAAATAAAAAATAAAAACTATGCCAAAATCTGTCTTTACTTTCGTTGACGAAAAATGAGGAGATGAAATATTATCAAAGATAACGTTACATCTCTGATAGTCAGTTTTTCTCTCAGCAGTTCCATTTCCGGTGCCGCGGCTGGGCAGCAGCTGTGCGTCTGTGCTGCGCGCGGCGGTACATTTGAATTACACCGGGCCAGCGGCATACTGTGAACTGTCAGGAAGACTCGGGTCTGACCGGTCTAACTCATGGTCTAACTCCCAACCCCCGGTCCGCGGACCGGTACCGGGACGCGGAGGTGTTACTGCCGGGCCGCGAAATAGCTGTGAGTTTATCGTAATATTTGCAGAATTATAAATATGTACAAATATTTTATCATAATAAATATTAAATTTTCGCACCTATACCAGTCATATTATTTCATCAAGTAGCCTAGTTAGTCTTTCACCAGAAAACAGTTGAAAATGGCTTTTATGATGTTCCGAGGGATTCGGCGGCTCAGTCTGGTGTCAGCCTCTCGTGCGCACGAGAAAGTTACCGGTGCGCCAAGTAGGAAGAGGAGCACACAGGAGACAACCGTTTAATTTCAGACTGTTATGTTTATTTGGGGAAATGGCAGTGCATACATTATTTGAGATATATTTCAAACTCGGACTTCATTTTAAGGACATGTCGGCCAGGGGTGTAGAGCTATTTGTTTAAGCACCGGATTGGCAAAACAGGAGAGTAAACCAGTCTGCCTTGGATCTATGAATTCATGTCCGGGACTCTCACGGTATCTGCTGCCCACAGCTGTTTTATAGAAGGAAAACCTCCTTCACTTCATGAAATGGCTGCAGCATCAGGAGGCAGAGGGACGTAACTCCGACTCTGAGAAGTGCAGCACCAGAGCGCCGAGAGCTGTGCCTTTTTACGCACCGCCTTCGCTCTGTTTACCTTCATCAGAACAGAGAGTGACTGCAGGCTGCTACGTGTTAACCACACATACCTCTTCACACATCTCTACACACATTGAACTGCCCGATTACTCCCCCTTTTATTAGTTTTATGAAGGAGATGTCCAGTCACCAAGGCGCATGATGTGTATGTGCTCTGCTCAGCTCAGCTCTGTGTGTTCGTGTCTGTCCGACACCGGCATTTGTTTTCAAACGACCATGAACAGCAATTTACACACATCTGGCTAACTCCATAGGTAGCTATGCGGGTGTTCCCAAAATAAATTTGTTTAATCTTAATCTCGATGTAGTGCTAAAATGGAGTCCGAACGTGCACCGGAACGAACGTTCACTATCAT